GCACTGCAATCCAAACACACAAACAAATGACTCAAGGCCACAGTGCTGCCAAAACAAACAAGTGATCAGTGAATATGATTATGGATGGGATTATGGATGCACAGTGACACACCCATGCAGAACAGTTGCTCTTGTTATATTTAACGCTAATTGGAATTCTATGTCCATGAGCAGTTTGTGACATGGAGCTCAAGTCCGTGGTGCAGAGGCACAAACATGCGTGCCTGCTTGCCCGCACACAAGAACACACTTATTTAATGTTCAGCGATTCGTTATCACTTATCAGGAATAATTGCTGCATGTTTGTGCAACTGTGAAATTGAACAAAATCCCACTCCATATAATTAAAGAAAACACAGTGAGCACACAATAATACTGAGAGGCCAGGAGAGCGTGAAGGCACGAATACAACCAAAGGCAAACACGGCCTATTATGTTCTTTCTCTATCTGAACCTCAGACTCGGATCCAACCTGTGGAGTCTTGTCAGGGTGTTCATGAAATGTGATTTCTTCACCTATCACTGTGTATGTTACATTACCTCAGCTGTCTGAACAAGCTCCGTTTGGAAAAAAAAACAAAAACGTTCTCCTTCTCTTGTGTTTCTGACGCTCTTTTCATCTTTTAGCTTCCACCTACTTGTCTCACTTCCTTTCTGTCTTTTTCTGTCTGCTTGCATGAAAATGACTTCCTCTGTTGAGTCCAAGGAAACACCACATAAAGCAATTACTAACAAGCCTGATGTGCAAGCCCCTCCTTTCCCTTTGTGTAGGGCAGGGATAGAGTGGGGCCAAGTGCCCTTCAGCAAAAATGAATTTTCCAATTTCAGTTAGTTCTTCCATGAATAAATAAACAAATGAATAATTGAAAGGAGCAACATAAATAAATAACATCACAAACATTTCACCAGTACTCATAAGTATTCCGGAGATAACTTGGGCTGCATGCTAATGATAAAAACAGTACATGTAGCAGGTTGAGATGCATTATTCACCGCTCTGCTTTAAGCAAAATTATATAAATAAAAATCTTTCATGGAACTCAAAACATCTTCTCAGCATTGAAGTGACAGGCCGGTCCCATTTATAACACACAAGGACACTGTGGAAAACAAATAACTGACCAATCAGCTGCAGGCTGGAATAAAGAAATAAATAAAAAAAAACTGGCAGCTGTTGATAGGTTCTCCAAGATTCCAGAAAGCTGTCGAAAGAAATAAAAGAATTCTTCCAAGTACTAAGAAAGAGGGAAAAAATTCAAAGTATTCCAACATAAATGGTGACAAGGTGAATTCTAATCCTGAACAGTTATTGAAATATTTGGACATTAAAAAAAAAAAAAAAAAAAAGCCATTTTCAGTTACTGACAGAGATCGTCTACACAGAATTGATTTATATGTGAATTCAATTCCGTGAGCAACATTGCATCAGAGGATCTGAACTGAAAGATGGTGATTTCTAGCGTAATGGTTCCATTCTTGGTTGGAAAAAGCCTCGTTTGTAAAGGCATTTCCGACCGAATCCAAGCAGCGCCACACACACTCACCGGAGAGCACAACAAATCTGTGCGTGCTATAAAAAGCCGATGTGAGATATGGAATGAGAACCCAATGCACAGATGCCATAAGCAGGTCTGGTAATAAGAACAGACTGAGGCAAGGGTTATAGAATGATAAATCATTCAAAACACAGAGTCGCAGCAGCGTGACACAGGTTGTAGCAAAGTCCTGGATTATGAATAAAAATATCTGGCTTAAAACCACCGTGTTGTTGTTGGCACAAAGGCGATTAATCACTTTTTTGAAAGAAAGTCAGATGGCGCAAAACTACTGTGAGATAATAAACACCAGTTTTGGTGGGTTTTTTGGAGACCCTGGAAATATCAGTCTGACAGAAATGTCTTACAGCAAGCTACACTTAACTGCTTTAGGAAGCCCATGGATGCAACTTGTGGCCTTCGAGCACAAGAAAAAAACAAGTCAGCTGACCTTGCGATTACCTTTTTTGCTATTTATTTCATATGGGTATGTCCAGAGTTTCCTAATAACTCTGTTAAGTTTGTCAAAGTTTCAAGCAGTTTCATGTGTACATAAAAAAAATAAAAAAAAATAAATAGCGAATAATGTCAGGATATAAACTAAGTGAATAGTTAGTGTCCAACTAATGCACTCAGTAAACTAAGTCCAGATCAATTCTGGCTCATTCTGCTAATGTCCTACTCAACAGAAAAAGTTACAAAGGTGCGAATCACATGAAAGCGGTCTTGAATGAGGATTTAAACACAGATTACCAATCTTAATGCGTTAGAATAAAGAACAGCACATCAGCAAACACGGTGGGAGGATGGCCTTTGTCCTCTGTGTGACTCGTTTCTATAAAGCTCATTAAGGGATACTGTTAACATGCTTCCTAAGCACAAACTGTTAATTAAAAACACAGGGCTAATATGCATTTTAACACCACACTTTTGAATGCCACGGAGGGGGAAAAAAAAAATCTAATTTTCTCCATGGTTCTGCTGATTGCAGGCTGAAGCGTTGCTGAAGTTAATTACAACCCTGTGATCTGATGTGATGAAGGGGTGACCGCACGGCACGCTGCCACAAGCTCTCCTCCCTCCACCCCACGACTGCAATCACCCTGAGTCTGCTCATCGTTATTGCATTACCACAATACCCATCTCATCCAGACTGAAGGTTCTGCCCTGTTGTTATCTCCTTTTTGTCTCTTTCTCTCACAGTCTTCATCTCTGTCACTAACATGTCCTACAGTCAGGGGTCACAAGGTTTAGGCTCTTGCAGACACAATTCAATGCAAGAGATATTTTTTTAATCCTGCAGCTTCCTCCGTATTTAGTTCACAGTTATCTTTCACAATCTAGCAAGTTGGGCTAAAAAACCTGAAAACATGAAGGAGTTTACAACACAATACAATAACAATGCGGCTGTTAGGTGGTGTCTCGAGCCTAAATCTGTCTACAGACGTCCATAGTCTGTGAACTGTGCTGCCCTCACGTCACAGTGTGCTGCTGCGACATTAAAACAACACGTCTGTAACAGGTCTGATAAGTTTTCACTAAAAGACAGTCAGAGAGAGAGGGTATGAAGTGACAAACTCACACAGTGACAGGATCAGCCCATAAAAGTCCATGCGAATGAAATGAACGAGTGTTTGCTGGGTGTGAAAATATACTACGGCACACACCTCTGTAGACCCTTCTATTAATCAACCTGTCCACACTTTGTTTTGAGAGTAATCTCGTCCAACCACCAGAGAAGCACTCAGCAGTAAGTGGCGCTTGGCTGTGCTTTGAAGGCCGTGGTTTATTGCCATCCCAAAGCACGGCAAGACTGTGTTGTAAAAACACATCATCTCAGGGCTCAACACTTGCCTCCAGTTATGCACTTCACACGTGGTGATCTAGCGTGGGGCCTGAAGAACTCCTACACCATTCCTGCCCTTAGCGGTGCTATCACAGTTAGATATGTAATAAGCCTTCATTCGTTTCCAATACAAAACAGACAATCCTACTTATCATCACCTTTGTAAGGTCAGCTCAGATCTAGCTCACTTGTCTTAATAGGGACGATTAGGTTTTGTTTGTTTTTTTTACCTCAATCATGCCAAAAAACAAAGGTGAAATTCCTGAAAATTTCCTCTATCGATGTTAAAACCTACTGAGGTGACTTGAGTGTAAAGATCGGTCACCTTCGACTCCAGAAACAGACTTCTTTGGAAGTATCAGAGTCACAGAGTCATTCAGTGTGTGTCTGTGCACAGGTGTTTCTTAATGTTTGTAATCTAAGGGCCAGACATTGCCCTTCAAGCATTAGACACAAAGCTGGGTCAAACACAGCAAAAGATATATGCAAATTTTCTATTAATTTATTTTATTATGTGAGAGATCAAGGCTCATCATTATCAGAACCTAGTGGCATACTTTGAGCCTTTTCAACAATTTTATTTGTTACCAAGCTTTTTCTGCATTGAACAAGTGTCAAGGCAGGGACACCATTCCTTCGAACATACTCTCTCCTCTTAACAAAAGTGAAAGGCACCTTACTCCACAAAAATCAAGTGCCTCTTCTCACGACTTGACATCCTCAAGAGTACCCTCTCTTAATATTTTAATAATAGGATCAAGAGTGCAAACAAAATTCAAAGCAAATAAAGTGCTAAAATATTTACAATGACACTGTGCTGTGTGGTGGGAGAGTACAGACAAGCTGGGTGTGGAGGATGGAGTGCTGAGATAAAGCTCAGCGCAAATATGTCCATCTCTGTAATACAGAGCAGCCAGGGGCTAATGAACATTAGCCACCAGTTCATTCCTGACATTAAAGAGCCTACTGTTTTAGGAAAATAAGGCTGGGCTGACCGCAGACACAGAGTTTTAACACGAGAGAATATATAATACTGACCTGACATTTCAAATCAAGTTAAATTTCATGCTGGAAGGAGTGAAGCACCCTGTCAGATGTTGTTGGCGAAACATAATGGAGGTCTGAAGAATAGTTTGCTGTTAAACTTCCTATCTTTCACATCCTTGACAGCGGAGATTATTTTGTACCAAAGTGCAACAATGTACGTCTGAATGCAACATCCGACCTTCAAGGATGCAAAGCTTAAATGTTTCTGAATGTACCACTGATGAAAAGAGCCTCCGACCACTGGCTTATAGGTGACACAGCTGCAGTTCCTCTTAAAGCAGAAATACTATTATGTTCTCAAAAGGAGGAGGTCTTTGGGTTAAGGCTTGAAGGTCCATAGCACTCCTAGCCTTTTTCTAGATATCCTATTAAAGATCAACCAAAAGAAATGATTAACTGAGGGTAAAGGTACACATGAGCACTTGTACATAGTGGCAAAGCCTTTGCTCTCTACTGAGGAAAACAGTCACGCGAGTGTATGTGTATTCACATATGAGTGTGCTTTCGGTCAATAGGAGGGCCAGCGACCTTTCTTTGCACCACTTGCCTCTCATCCTCCAGCAGTATCTTTGGCCCGTCTAGCTCCACCTGTAGCTCAGAAATCTCGTCTTTGTTCTGCCTCTTTTGCCTCCTTCTGCACAACAACACAGACAGGAGAGAGGGAGCAGAGGTGAGGCGTGCGGGGAATTGAAGCTGTCTGTTTTTAAAGGTGTCAGCACACCTAACTTTTGCATAATACATATCACACCTCAGAGATGATCCATTAGCAGGTTACAGCAAAAGAGCCGAGCAATAAACTGATGAGATATGGCTCCAACAGACACACAAACGCGTCACACACAAATACACACACACACACACACACAATATCCTCCACTTTTAGAGCCAGATGAGAGGGTGGGATTGTCCCTGCGGTGTAGCCTCGTGTGTGGCTGCATTTAAAACCACTTTTACTTCTGGGCTCTGACCCTACACTGCCTCCAGAGAAAGTGCAAAAGACAAAGTGTGCGATAGAAGCAAAAAAGAGAGAAATAGAGCAAAAGATGAAGACAGAGAGAGAGCCAGATTGAAAAAGGGAAAAAGCAAAGCCACCACACCCCTCTGTACTTCCAGACACTGATTTATAATTTTAATATCTCTAATTTCCACAGCAGTGCCCATTTTCCAAATGTCATTTTCCAATTTATGTCAAACCGTGTGACCATTTTTCTTAATACAGCTTATGACAAGCTCGGTGGCAAGGCGGATATGCAATTCAGATTGAGTGTTTTACAGGCACAGCAGCAGACACACTAGGGTGTTTGTGTGTTTATCTTTATCAGTGTCTGCTCAGTATTTTGAAGGGGAAGCACTGAGAGCGTTATACACTCGGGAAAAATTGGGTTTGCTACAAAATATGTGCCTTCGGGGAAGAAAACCATAATTCTGCCATAAATCTAATTATTACAGTTATCATAATAAGAATTATGATGGTGGCAATGATAATGTATTAAAATATGCATTAACGTTAAGAGCTTGAAATGGAATGTGGGCTGGCTTTATGGCCGTTACATGAATATTGATGTTAATTAAAACAGAACCTCTCTTTTTATGTAACACTCCATCTTGTTGTAATGGTAAGAGTTGTACATGGTGGCGAGTCGGATGGAGATGAAGTCATTACTGGCTGGTTTGCCCCACAGAGGCAGTCTGGAGCTCCTCTTTGATGTGCTAGGGTCTTTCCAGGCAACCTCTAATCTCTGTGTGTTAATCTGGATTTTCCCATCATACGCTGAAGACTGCAACTGAACATTAACGGTTGGGGGAAAAAACCCTCAAAAGCAAAACGAACTTTTCTCGAGGTTGGTCACAAAAATTGCTGCAAAATATTTAAGCAGCCACACGCATGATTTTCAATGTTTTGATATAACATTTAGCAGTTTTAATGATGGCTACGTCACTGATCTATGAGCCATTCAAGCATTTAACTGAAGAGATGAACCAGTGTTGTGTCTCCACACAAAACAACTCTACTGTTTTGTTGTAAGCAGTCTGTCAAAGAAAAAAAACAAAACACAAACTGGTTCATGTTTCTTTAACCGCCACAAATTAAAGAATATGAGGTATAAAAAAAAGAACTCCCAAAGAACTATTACTTGAAAACTTGGCATGTCTTGGCTTTGAGTTCAGTCTGTTCTTAAAGAAACTGAGGGGATTGGACAAGTGTCAGGCTTAAATCAATCCATCTATAGCAGATTAACAGTATCTGAAAGTCATGTTGTTAAGAAAGAGGAAAAAATCCAAATGCAAAAAGACCTGATACAGGACCAGAGGGTTTATCTGACCCTTCAGATGATCCATTTACTCTTCACTGATGCCTCATCAGAAATGGTCTCAGTGGAAGGGTTGCTATTTCCATTCTTAAGGAAGGAAGCAAGTAAAGGCTCAGGCCAAATTACACAAGAAATGTAGGTCTCATGGATTGATAAATCCAGATATGAAGTTTTCAGTTTGTAATCATTATTAATATATATACAGAGAGGAGGTTAGGAGATAAGTACAACAGTGAGTATCTACAGACATCTATAAAACACCGCTCTGTCTTGGTTTTCGGTGCATTTCAGTCAGTAGTTTTAGAGATCTTGCGACTGTCAGATTTGATTCACCATGTAGCACCATCTAAACACCATCTGATTTATAAAGGCTTCATTTGTAAGTATAACAATGATCCCAAACCTGGATAAAAAGTCATGGATTGGCCTCCCCACAGCCCAGACCTCAGTATTACTGAAACAGTGTGGGATCATCTTCAAGGAGAACAGAACAAAAGGCAGACAACATCCAAAGAAGCGCTTTGAATGCCCTTCAAGAAGCCCAAATAATTATTTCTGACTACAAGAAAGCTTGGCTAAGAGAGGCTGTGCTCATCGTACCACACACTGACTTTCGGGCATTTTAAAATTGTATGTTTTAAGAAATTGAGCTATATATTTTCCTGGGTGGCTCAGGAAATATTCACAGGTGTGTAGGTCTAGAAAGTCAATCCCATTTAATAACTGTTTTATATGCATTTTATGTTTTAACAATAATTCTGGGTTTTTAATGGTAATAGTTTTAGTTTTAGCAGTTTTAATACTTTCTGCTTTTTCTAGTTGTCTTACTTTCTTTAATTGCATGTACTTCTTTGACTTTATATAATTAAAGAAATTCCTTCTCTATTTTCTAGCCACCCTTAAACCCACTAAACTGTGAATTAAAACACAATTTCATGTTGGGGTGTGTAGTGAATATTAATATACTGTATGCAAAATAAATGTGCTTACTGCCAGCTGCTTGTTGGTAAATTGACATGCGTGTGAAAAAAGGACATTTAGTGAGCAGAAATAAATAAAATTTCTTCATTACGTCTCATAATTCCTTCAAATGGTCTTGCAGTTTTGATACGTCATGTAATGATGTACTGGTACTTCCATTAAATGATAAAGGAGAAAGTAAATTGCTTTTATAATAAAACCAGCTTGGGGAATCTGTAACAACAGTGTAAAGAGGCCACACGACAATTAAATGCTTATGAGAATTACCTCATTAAGGTTGACATTCTCCACATCCAAGACTACTTGTATATACATTCCTTGAAATGACACCTGACTCCAGGCTGGTGGCTCCTCAGTGTTGCTGGGTTAAAGACAAGCCCAAACAACAGTTCTTGATCAGTCTACAAAAGCCAAAGAACTGCTGTGGCTTCAAGCATGTTTAAAAGCATTAATAATAGGTGGGATCTAAGTAATAGAATAAGGACTTTCTATGGCATTGTGGTGTTACGATCTGCTTATGGTAATCTAAACAGTCTCACCTCTATCCCTCATCTCCCCTCTGAGCCAAACACTTATCGACTCTCTGAGTAGCGGCCCGCCAGCACATGTTCCCAACTATTGAAAAAAAAGGGTAAAAATAACAGGAACAAGTTGTCGGAAATGAAATTTCAATTCATCCAGTCCCTTTATACACTGGTGCGAGAGCCTGTCGTTGAGAGGGAGGGATCAATAGTGTTTAGACAGCGGGGCAGATTTTCTAAGCGCTGGATCAATAGGAAGGAGAGAGGAAAAAATACCCTGGCTTTTCTCTGGCTGTTGTAGTAAATACGAACAAATCAGTGGCCTTAGGCTAAATGGATTGACCAGCTGTTTCCGAGTTCTGTGTTGTAAATAAAGATCCATTCTGAGGTGCGTAACTGAGGCTCAAAGGCAAAAGTGTCACTATTCAGGTTGGGCCTGCACAGGTTGTGCTGGACCACACAAGTGTCCTGATCAGAGGGTGAGGAAGGCCAGGGAACAGAGGACAAGCCAGAGAGCCGAGGACAGCGAATCACAATAACTTATTAGGGTAGCTCAAACAACCTTTCATACGATTTAAACTTCAATAATTACATACACGGGGAGAACATAGTTACTTTCTTTCTTTATTTTATACATCTGGTTAAGTTTGAAATGTCCAACTTTTGCCACTTTTTATCTAGACCTTCACTGCATTACATAGCACTGAAGTGGGAGGCATTTTTCCACATGTGTTGCACATTTTATTGCCTTCTGAGAAGCATAGCAATACTCCGCTTCACTCTAATTTGAAATTCTATTGGTGTATTTACTCTTCCTTTCAATCACAAATAAATGTGGGAATGGCAATTTTATTTCTAAAGCACATTTTATTACTAACAAGCTCAGAAGACGTGAAATTTTTACCTCTACTTGCATGTGCCAGCGTCTCTCTCCCATCCGGTAATAAACATTGTACTGCTTCTGCAATGGAAATAGAACATATATTTATAACACAAGTACATAAATATAATCCAAACACCACACAAGTTTGTTGCACTCGTTGGTTTAGCTCTAGAGACAGTGCGGGCATTTTTTATTTATTCATTCATTTATTTAACTGTAGGATCAACAACAACTCGTCCTACATCATTTTACTTACATAATGAAATAAATAAATAATACAGTACTAGTTCTTAATATTATTTTGCAAACCAATAAGTTTAAGCAGGTGTACTGTTTCAAGCTGTATATTCACATTTCCTAGGACATTTACATTTCAGTTTCAATAAAAACAGGTGTTATGCAACTTTGTAACACTGATGATGTAAAATGGAGACAGAAAGCAGCACTTCTACAGAAAAAAAAATCACTATTATGCTTTGCAAGTATATGACTAACAAAGAGTGACAGAAGAAAACATAAAAACACAATATTTCGACTGATTAAAATAAAAGCTACTACATGAGGAATGTACAGACTGGTTCATGACCTAGGCATCTATGGCAGGTTAAATATCTCCACCAATATACTGAGCTAATCAAGGGGGTGAGATCCTGACAGGATGACTGATGGCCCGATTGCTTTGCACCACCTCTGGACTTATTAAAGAAAAACACCACAGGCCATGCTTTCACAAAACTCATTGGTCAACCACAGTGGAGAAAGTGATGGGTGAAATTCATCACTAAAAACTATCGAGCCCAAACAAAACACACATTGGGGCACAGAACTACACAAGAACCTCTGGTCATCAGGGTACTGATTGCCTTCAGACTCGGGGAGAAGACACTTTAAAGGACATGAGTGTAGGGGAAAGGATGGCTGCCGAGTCTCGCTGCAGGGTTCACAAGGAAAAATAGAAGAAAGAATTCTTAGACTTTGCTCTGCAGCACTTGGAAACACCATTCGTTCCTCAGAAGAAATATGGCTCAAATTCCCTTCCTCCAAACATTTTCTTATGCTCAGAAGAGTAACTGTTGAAACTTTATCAAACCGACGCCTGGAGAAAGGAAACCATATATAACCACATTCTCTTTCACTACACCAATCATATTGTTTTCTAAGGTATCTTTTTACTGTAAGAAATGCACAAAGACATCACAGAAAACATGTTGTAGAACCGCTGGAACGTAACAGTCACACAATCTTCACGAGAATACATAAACAGAGCAGCTAGACATGCTGTACAACTCATTTGAGGGCAATTTCACAGTGTAATTGAGGCTTTGTGTGTATATGCGCCTGTTTGCAAGTGCTGCCTTTCACTGATTAAGGTGACCTTAGATTGTGCACTTACCGAATCTCGGGCTGAGCAGCAGAGGTTAGAGCACAACTCATTGGCTTCCTGAACACATTACCTTAATGATGCCATTCCTCACGCCTCCATTTCAACACATTTAGAGATGGAGCAGTTACATCGTCTATTAAGACATTCAAATGTCTCCCCTAGCTATTTACCCACTGCTCGAGCACAAAAGGGTAGCCCGAATTAACTGTGACAGCGCTGACTCGTTTCCCTTTCCAAACAGACAAAATACATAGAAAAAGTCATCATGCGGGAAAGGTCATTAAAAATTTAGATTACAGCTTCCTTGCTTTCCCGAAAACCCTTGTCTTTCTCTGCCTGTTAATGGGATTGTTTTAATATTAAAGTGTTCATTATGACAGATTGTGAGGCTGACTCTCAATGCTGCTTGTTTTCCTGTTCCTGGCATGTGATCAAACCTCATTTACCCGACTGGGGGATTGAATGAAATGTGCGATTATTAACCCTGTGTCTGCCTCTGGAGGAGGGGGTGGATGTTTGCCTCCTACACATTTTATCTTTTGGTGCACCTGAGTTTAAGCTGTTGCCGTTTCCTCTGTTCTGTGAATATTTGTGAAAGATTTTTTTTTTTTTAAATGCCTTTAAACACACAAAATGCATATAAAGTCTGCCAGAAATGTATTTTTCTTCTTCAGTTCTTGTGGAGGTTACTGTCCAATGAGCAGCACATCCCCAGTGAGTGGTCTTTAATGTGCTCATGCCCCAGCAGACTACCTGCTCCATATTCTGGCCCGAGTAAGCAGCTTCCCCCTCCTGTTTTGAGGTATTTGGGGGTATTTTTGGGAGGAGAGAAGGGCTATTGAAAGTGTTTATGTTCCTGGCTTGTACAGAGGGGTCTAATGTGTAACACAGAGCACTTCAGTATTCAGACGCCTGGGGCTATTCTCTAAGTGGTCTTTACTTTGAAAACACAGGTGCCCTCCAGGGCTTGATGAGTGGTTGTTGTGTGCATGTGTGTCCATGTATGAGGAAGCAGTAAGCTGGGAGGGCAGATAAAGGGGCCGCACTGTTTTATCCATACATCATCACTCCATGTTATAATTTGATTCAGTATGGTGGTCTTGCAGAAAGCCCTATGCTATTATCTTTAATAATGCAAGGAGGGATTAGGTACTCACTCTCTTCTGATAAATACAGACAAATCAGTTAATTCCACTGACACTCCCCACCAACTGCCACAACGCATGCACCAGTCCAACTCTCTGATTTGTTTTCTTTTGCTCTATAAAACAGAATAGTTTAGTTTTTATGTCCTCCTCTAAACCAAAACCATACAGTGCACAAAAGATTTGTTATTGTTACAGAAAACTGTAACATAACTTAGATTTTGATATTTGAAAATCTAATGAGGTCTGGAGGGATCTCATAAATTAGAAAAATAAAGCTGCGCATGCTTCGCTGGTGCCGCTGCATAAAGAAACAGCAACATTTTTCATAAAATTAATAGGAGAGGTTTGACACGTCTCTCGCTATAATTACCAGTCAGGCAACCATGACCAAACAAGAAAATGCATTTTATGCCATACTGTAATATAAACATGCAGCTGTCGTGTAAATACAGCATGACTGCACACATATTCTGACAGTGCCCTAGCGGAAAAGTAGTTTAAATGAGGATAATGAAACAAAATATGAGTTGGCTATGCATTTCACAGAGTTTATGGTGTCAGTGGGTGCAATGCTGATGGAAAGGCCTCATGGCCATTTTAAAGGCAATAGACCACTTAGCAGATCTCAGCTGGTCCTGATGCCAGCAACCTTGATAATGAGGAGCAGCTGGAGCAACAGTCATTAGACCTAGCCATCTCCACCTTCAGGAACTATCTTTTATTTCCATAAAACCTTTTATCCATTTCTGTCGCTGCTGCTATACTGTCTAACACCGACCCAGGGCCATTAATGACTACAGCAGTATAGTAAATGTCATTACATAGCTTGTCTCATCAATACTTCTAAAAACAGAACATCAATGGCAAAAAGAGGCAGAGCAGATATAATATGTTTCTGGTGGTGTCACAATCTTGTAGGTCTAATTAAGCTGGAGTTCAGCAGAAAGGCAGCATGAGAGGAGAAGAGGGAAGGAGAGGGTGACCCAATTAAAACCAAATCGAAACTCAGATTCACTCTTCAGTGTGGCTCACGCACAGACTGAGTGGGAATCTGTGAAAACAAGGAGAACAAGCTTTATTAGTCCCTAAAAAGCTCTGTTGCTACATTAATATTCCAGTCTAATGAAAGCTTAGTTTTCCCCATTTCCCTACACTTGCCTGTCAGTGTTCAGTTCATAAATATTTTCTTATTATGATCGTGACGGGTTTTTTTTCCCCAGATATGAAAAAAATAAATAAAATTCAGAGCCAATTATCAGAATGACAGGTGAAATGGGAGCGTGCTGAGAAGAAATGAAGGGTTGCCATGGTGATATAGCAAAGAATCATAGTGGATACTGTATATGTGGTCACGTGACCGATGTCTGGCTGAACTGCAGCTACGCTCGGGCCCCTGCACACCAAAGGACACTTAACCTCAATCGCTGGTAGCAATCACAGGCCGATCAAACTGAATTTATTGGCTATTTCTGTCTCCGGGTCAGACCGCCGTAGTGCCTGCAGACTCGACCGCATCCAAATTCAGAACGTTCTCAAACCTTTTGACTAATGACAGCTTTAGAGGGCTGGGTACAGAGCTAAGGCATGTTCATGTATGCATTTATAGAATCTACATGAGGGGAAAAAAAGTCATCTGAGTTTTTATATAAATCACAAAAACCTCTGCAGAGA